TTGAATTTTTCAGTATCTCTTAATAGCTATTTCTTTTTTGCTCTGAAGTAGGATCGTTTGCCGTTTTCTTTTGAGTCTCGAATGCTGTTTCCTGATATTTTACTCACGGATTGCCAGCGCGTCTTTTAGTATTTTCAATTCATTGCGCAGAGTGGTATTACTGTCATAATTTTAATGACAAAGGTATAATGTTCACATAAAACTGCCCCAAAGGGGTTTTAGGATCAAAAAGTAAACAAAAATTAGAAGTTGAACATTTTGAAACATTGTAAAATAAGGCAACGCAGAAATGTTGTTTATCAAAATCTGAAAATACTTAAAATACTTCATGAAAATCTTCACCATATGCGGTAAAGAGAGCCGAAGCTGGTGGTTTTGAAAATCGTTACTTTAACTAAGTATAATCATGGCCTTCTTGTTAATATGTGTATTACTACTGTGATTTTAATGGCCTCATAGGATAATAATACCTATAAGATAGACATAACATAAGAGAAAATAAAACCCAACATATAAATGATGCGCTAAAGACTTTGTCCTGGGTGTATAATCTTCAATACAGTAACATTCTTGCTCTATAGCCTCTGACCAATTAACACCCTTAATTGTCTCGAATGCAGAGTTATAGTCTGTAATAGATTAACACTCTTGTCCTGAATGCACAATTGCCACATAATTTGTGATGCATTAACACTGTTGTCTCAGATGTAGACCTATTATAATCAGTAAAGGTTAACACTCTTGTCCTGAATACCACCTTACCATATAACTCGTGATATAGTGACACTATTATCTCGTATGTAGCCTATAGCCTATAATAAGTTAATGCCCTTGCTCTGGATGTAAATTTACATCCATGGCAAGGGCGATAATCTATTACACATTATAGGTCTTTATCCAGAGCAAGATTGAAATGTTATCATAAGTTATGAGCTTAAATTTAGGATATGAGTGTTAATCTATCATTCGTTATATAGGTGTATAACCTGAGAGAGGTTAACACCTTCTTTCACCTCCAAAATATCTGGGTGACTCAAAAATAGTTAATTTACTATAATTTATGGAGTTTTAAAACCATGGATTGCTACTAAGTAGCGTATTTAAGTTTTATATTTCGTTATAATATAACTACACATTTTATGCTCTGCAGCTATGTAACGTAACCGCAGTTTCTCGTATTTAATAAACAACGTGGTGCTTAGCAAAAAAAAAAAAAAATCATGCGTTGTTCTATTTCTTTTCTATGTAGATGTAAAAGCGATTTACATATTTACAATACTTGAATAGCTACTTACAACTGACTTCGTATTGTTTAAACATCCAAAATGAGCCTCAATATCAGAATATATTTCTATGAATTATATTGTGTTTATTTCATAACCTTGGTTAGTATATAACTAACATTGAACGAGCTAAAACTAAGATGAATAAGTATGGACAAAATTTAATGTTTTTTAACTTGTTTCTAATTAGAATGAGAAAGGCATAACTTCTACACCATAGTTAACTAAATCGACCATAGAGCGACTATCTCTGGAGCTCAGTAAAATACGGATATGATCATAAGCAGTGTATGTACAATTGTATTACTAGATATCTTCTATAGGTAAGACCCATGTTCAAAATGCTTGCTTATTTTTACAGATAATTGAATATAGCAATCCCTCATTTTGAATTGATATAACACGTAGAAAGCAGCTGATCAACAACACCTACTGTCTATTCTTTGGGAAATCCTCGTTTCGTTCACAGCCCCAAAGAGCGGAGTGCGTTCTTATGGCAATAGCATGCAAACCACGAACCTTCGGATTCACAATCCGGAAATATGGTATATTTGGCCACACCCAGCCCTTTCAAATCGCAAGCTTATACATAAATTCAGAAATATATGCTATATACGAAACAGAAAAGTAAATATTTATAAATACGTAAAACATACATAAGTACCACCATACTTACGTCTAAAGATAGGCTAAACAGGTGTGTATGCGAATATTTTAAATCCTTTGATCAATGGAATTACACTTAAAAAGCTTTTTCTTTGATATTTTTCCCGAAACTCAACACGTTAAGTTTTGTTATTTTAACCTCACCACTATAATGACTGTATAATCCCACCATACCCCCTTTTCTGTCTTCCCCAGTTCGGAACGCACCTATGGCGATAGAGAGCGAAGTGAAGAACCCTCAACACGACAAGGGGGGAGTAATACTGTGGCAAAGATGTTAACCCTCATAAAGAGCTGTCTTTCAGGGAAGTGGTGCAGTAGCGGGAACTGTTTGACTTGATGTAGTTTATATGATATAACGTGTGTAAACCTTTTAGAACTCCTGTTAGTGTTAGCTAGAAAATAAAGACAGCTAACGCCTTGTGCACAGTGTCAAGCTGAGAAGCACGCAACGAGTGGGACATCATTTTCTCACCACCTTGCTACCATAGTAACTGCTTGTATGACCGTTATAAGACGGGGAAGGGGTGTGGTCTAATTCCTGCTCAATTGTGTGGGGGATTCTATTGACACTTCACCATGGGTATTTCACGGAAATGTTAAGGATAATAACACTTCGACAGATAATAACCTTTTAGTGCAACACTCAGGAAATTAACTCTTACACAAGTAGCCTTCCACTAAATATATTAAGTTCCACCTACTAACACACACAACACTCAATATAGAATGTAGTGTGTGTGTGTTAGTAGGTGGAACTTGATTTGCTTAAAAAAACACTTAAGACTGGAAGAAATATCCTCGATTTGGACTTAAAGTAAAGGTAGGTCATTAATGGACCAATTGGTTTAAAGTTGCTTTAAAAAACAACTTAAGACTGGAAGAAATATCCTCGATTTGGACTTGAAGTCCAAAGTTGCTTAAAAAAAACAACTTACTAAAACATTTATATGTATGTGCGTTGTAAAGAGAGAGAGATTTTAAACCAATTGGTCTAGTAATGACCTACCCCTTACTTCAAGTCCAAATCGAGGATTTTTCTTCCAGTCTTATTTCAAAGAAATGTTTTATATTTTATACTTCATTGAACTTATTCACCTGTATTTTGTTGAAGATTAAACACGGTCTCTCATGGACTTATATTAAAACTGTAAGGTAGGTTTTTTGAAATGGAAAGTGACAAATGCGTTTTAGTACTGAGAAAATTGCCATGAGGTGTAGGATTTAATTGTAGGTATCATACTAAAACACACAAAGTTCTTAAATTTAATAATAATATTGAGATCATCTGGTACAATGATGTGCTTCTCAATATTCAGCTTAAAATGTATGAAGTTGAATTTAGAATGTATATACTTCAAATATATAAGGGTAACATGATGCATACAATTTATAAACAGCATATATGATAAAGTGGGAAATAGTAACGTTATTTCACACCAGAAGTTCAAAACATATAACATTTTGAAAGTCTTGTCATGTATAGAAGTTATACTTACGAACGGCAGATTCAGGCAAGAAATACCAAAATTATATAATAAGTTCAATGAACGCATATTTTAAATCTACATTGTCTTGTGTGCTTAAAATTGAACATATAAACAAGGTTACACAAAGACTGAAAAATTAGAGTAACATTCTTTGAATGTTTGACTTTATGGGGTATATAGAACATCGTTAAATATCCTCAAGAATTTTTACAGATTTTCAATAGATTGAACAAAAAATACTAAGTGGAAAAATGATCGATGTTTTTCCTTTCTCATTTTTTTGGGGAAGTTGCATGTGTCATTTAGAACAAAAAAATTAAAACGTTTACTTATAAATATGGGAAGTTGCATGTGTCATTTAGAACAAAAAAATTAAAACGTTTACTTATAAATATGGGAAGTTGCGTGTGTCATTTAGAACAAAAAAATCAAAACGTTTACTTATAATTATGGGAAGCTCTATACCTTGTAACGTGTTTTTTTTTGCTTCCATGGTTTTTACACAATTTTTGCACAGAGAACTTTCAAGTTATGAACGTAATTCTGAACGAGATATTTAAAGCACATCTTGGATGTTCTGACAGGAAGCGAACTTCGATAAAACCTTCTCATGTTAAGTATATTGTATGTTTTTTAAAGAAACCAAACGCATTTAACAAAGATTTTCATCAGAAATGATATGATTTCGAATGTGATAAATTTTTATTTAAATGTCAACAACATTTATTACCGAACGTGTTTCTGAAACATAAAGATAAAAATTCTATAAAATCGTATTTAGAAGGAACATATTCACTCAGAACAATATTTCAAGGTCTTCAGAACAACACTGAAACCAAACATTTTAATAAGTTTAACGATTAAACCTTATAATACTGTGAATAACTTAAGGTAAACATCTATCAGATAAAACAAGCACTTAGTTTTCTTTTCTTGCATGAAATTTCAGTCTCGCAATGCAAATACATATAGCATGGTTTTTATTTTCTCATATAACTGACATAACATTTTAGATATGTAGAATCTTATGTTTAAAATAACGACGTCAAAAAAATTAAATTAATACTTCCTTAAAATCAAAATTAAAAGGCAAAATGTTTAGTTCTATAAGTACACTGTACGTGTATAGATAAGTTGCTTAGATATTTTTATTCAATCAGTGTAGAAAACCTTTAGAATAAAAAAGAACGTTTATTTACGATAGAGATTCGAATTAAGTGTGATCCAGATACGTTAACTGGACTGAGATTGTTCAGCCTTCAAATTCCTTCTTCTCTCACAGCCACGATCTTCTCTAGCAATTGACAATCAGCTATTTAAACCACACCTACCTAGAATCCAGGGATGATTTAAGGCTAGGCTATTGATCTGTTACGTCGTTTTGATCCCGCCCTAAACTTTTAATTTACCCAATCAACGTTTAGGATATCAATCCCTCTGTTGTCACTCCCTGTAAAGAACCCACTGACAGTTTAAGTGTAAGCGAATCACTAGGGCTTGTAGCGCGTCTCGAAGGGCGCAGCGTTTATTCCGAGCGCTAGTAAACCACGGACATGATGACTAGACTTTAAGTAGCACGATTATGAAACATGGGCCTGCAATACGAAATCAAGCACTTCGCATAGTAAACCGTAAACCTAGTCGGCACACACGTTCTTTCTCATACGCAGTGATTCAATGGTGTGGCTACAGCTTTTTCCTTGAACCCGAAAGCAGCGGAGCACCTCTGCAGATCGGACATGTTGAACCCTTTCATGGACACGGCCCACATGGGCGCTCTCAAACTAAGCCCACCGCACGCCATGCCAGTCGAGCCGGCAGGAGCCCACGTACAGGGAAACCACCAATTTGCAGCTCAGGCCAACGGTTATCCTGGTCCTCACCCCCATGCTCATCACCACCATCACGGGCATGTTAGCAGCTACGCTGCACGAGACTTTTTGCTCCGCAGAGAGCATATGCCAACTTTAGCTAGTAGCTTAGCAACCCACGATAACCTGAGTAATAACGGCACAGCGCACCATGGGATGTTTGTGCCCTCTTCTGCGACGCTGCACGGGACTCACCATCACACGGTTGACCCTTCCTCCACGCACGTGCTTTTTCCTGGTTTGGAGTATTCTGCGGCTCACCACGCTGGACATATGAATGGTCAAGTTAGGCTTTCCTTGCCTGGAAGTGACATGTACGGGCGTCCGGATACTTTTAACCAAATGGCCGGTCCAAGAACTGACCACTTTGCTGGAACCTATGGTGCCATGAACATGGGTCCTCACGGTCCGGGAGCCTTCTTCAGATACATGCGACAGCCAGTAAAACAAGAAATGGCATGTGTCTGGGTTGATCAGGAGCAACCAAGTCCGAAAAAACCGTGTAACAAAATATTTACTTCTATGCACGAGATAGTGACTCATATCACAGTAGAACATGTCGGTGGTCCCGAATGCTCGAATCATGCATGTTACTGGCAGGACTGTTCCCGTAACGGACGGCCGTTCAAGGCCAAGTACAAACTGGTCAACCACATACGGGTCCACACCGGGGAAAAGCCGTTCCCCTGCCCCTTCCCTGGCTGTGGAAAAGTTTTTGCCAGAAGTGAAAACCTAAAGATACATAAACGAACACACACAGGTAAGCAAAAAACAAAAGTCAATATATGTGCTAGTAAGTAATAACAAAAACTCCATTTCTTTTTACTCAAGCATATTGTGCCCTTAGACTATAAGTATTAGTTAATCCATATGTTATTGAGTTGTCCTGCAACTTTTACTGACTTAGTATATCTTATCCTAGAAGTATGAAAATATGTTATTTATCACCATCACAAGTTTTTCCTTAACTTTTACTGTCCTTTCGTTTTCTATTCACACACCTTAACCATTTATGTGCCTGAATAACAGACACATAAATGGTTCTCTTTAGTACACTTCTTACCATAAAAGTGACACCAGACCAGCTGGGTCAGTAAATGAATTGCCCTTTATTATTGACCTTTCACGACAGAGTAAGTAACTGAAAAATGTTTATATGAACCCACAAACCAAATGGAAAAATTCAAGGTTTTTCAAACTGTAACATTTAAAGAAGTGTACGAATTCTGCTCTTTGTGTATACAGCCCAGTAATCATATTATTTTCTTGTATTTTAAATGGGCTACATTATTATGGATATTACTTATTACCTTTTCAACAATGATATAACGGAAGTGCAATGCAGAAGGTTGTTAAGTTTTGCATGGGTAGCTTTAAGCTCGCAAGGTACCGATTTTTCGCTAAAACATGTCACAGTATATCCAGCTTCACGTGCATTTAAAATTAGCTTTCACACTGGAAGCTTCTGAGATTTTAGCTGTGAAAAATCAGCAGTCCGAATACTATCAAGATTCTTCTAGTTATTATCTCACTGCCAGACTTTCAAACAATCATCTCTACTAGGTACTGTAAGACGGAGACTACATGTACAACTTGGCGAAGTATGGCCACCAATACTGCTGTTACCTGTGGAACGACGGCTTTGTGCTGAACGTAAACAGGCATGGCGTCTGTTTGGTTGAGTGACTAAACATGATTATAGGCACCACTCGAAGACGATTACTTAAAGCCAGTAAAGAGGTTTAGTTCTCTATTGAGTAAATGCGTTTAGATGCACCAATGTTTTCTGTAGTTCTACATTTATAAGGATATTTATTTTGGGTATCTCAGACGCAACTACGTCGAGATGAATCTTGATAATATAACGCTTGAGTTCAGTCTTCAACTGCATGAATATACGTCCTTACTAAATTAGAGTAGGTTATGTTTTATTTTAGCAATAATGCTGTAATTGACTTTTACTGCGTTTCTGGGGTTATGTTTACGTCATTGTCCATCTAAGAAGAATTACTGAGAATGTTGTAGGTGAGGTTATGTTTTCATCATTGTCCATCTGAGAAAAATTATTGAGAATGTTGTAGTTGTGAACTATTTGTTGTTGTTTTTTTTACTTAAGTTTTGCATGCTCGAGGTTAACGTGTTCTGTGCATGAGTCAGTCTTGCAGAACTTTGGAATATTTTTACTTACAGTAATCACTTAGAAAACAGAATGCTCATCTATAAATAGGAAATAATTTGAAAAACTTTATACGACTCTCATGTATTAATGATTGAAACTGAAATTATGATTAATGTGTTTTTTGTGAGTTCTCTAACTGTTTGTTTAATCCCATGTGATAGACATGATCTAGAACCATTTAGTGACATCTTCTTGAGCTGTTTTTTTGTTGTTGTTAGTCTGCACATGAGTACCGTAACTTTACATGCAGTGTGTTCACTATCCTCTCACTGTTTCTTTGTTAGTTTGATCATGAGTATACAGTAACCATACAAGAAATACAGGTTATTCTTGATTTAATCTTGAAATAAAGACCAATTTGAAATAAAAAGTTATAGTCAAAGATATTTTTTTGATATCAAGAACCATTATTGACTGACACGTTTTATGGGGTATTGGTCAACAGTTCAGTAGAATGACATCTTTTTTCTTTTTTTTTACAATTCTACGTGGTAATTAGAGTTGGCGTATGGAACTTCAGTCCAGAAGGTGGTGATAAATAAACCTTTTTTTAACACAGTATTTCACACGTAATACTAATTTCACGGACAACAAGGAACACTTCTTGCTCTTCTTTTCTCAACAGAAAATAAGTTAAAAGATCTTAACCTATCCTTATAATTCTTCCATCTTCCGAACTGTCTTTACAGCACTTCTCTGAATCCTTTCTAATAAATCAAAATTAGTTCTTAGTTAAGGAGATCAAAACTGTACATAGTATTCCATGTGAAGCCTAACCAATCATTTGGATTGAAAGATAATTATCTCTTTTGACTTTTAGTCTCTCTCTATATTTAATTATACCCTAAACTTATAATAGCTTTATTACTAGTAAATCAGTAACTTAGCCACCACTATGCCAAGATCTTTTTCTCATGCTAATAAGTGGATTCCTATGTATATTAAACATGCGATCCATTGGTAACTCAAATGCATACTTACACTTACTATTTATTGAAGGTCATTTGCCAAATATTTGTCCAATTTACCAATTGATTTAAATCATTTTGTAATAACTCAACATCCTAAAATAACTAGAAATACTCAAGAGTTTAATGTCATCAGAATACTTTAGTAATTTACTAATTATTCTCCTATCAATATCATTAATGTAACCAAGAAAAAGGAAAAACCCAAGAATTGATCCCTAAGCACTTCATCAGTAACAAGGGTCCGGTTTGACTAGACTCCATTAATAATACTCTTTTATTTCTCTCATTCAACTACACTATAATCAAATTAACTAGCCTTTCCCCAGTGTGATTTTAGCTAGACTCCTATGTAGCACTTTATCAAAAGCTTTTTGCAAATCTAAGTATAAAAAATCTACATCTAGATAACAATAACATTCTCGAAAAAACATAAAAGATTCGTAAAGCAAATTGCCCTTTGGTGAATCTATGCTGGGTTCAATTTACGATACATTTCATTAAATGATTTTGCGTAACTATTTAATTTTTTTAAGCTCTCTGGAATTTTTCTCTACCAAAGTAAGCCTAACTGACCTATAATATTCAGGGCAACTCTCATGACTCCCTTTAAAACTAGAGTAACAATATTAAAACTTCGAACTGCAAACGTTATTTTACGACTAAAAGGTTGTAAGTTGTTCGATCTGACGAACAGCGCCAGCTGGAAACGTCAACGTCTTCTAATAAAAATATAAAAACTTGGCGATTGTTTAACCTATTCTTTAATTCTGATATATTTGTCGTCTATGCGGTTAAATATGCATTTCTTTGAATGAATTGTTACAGACAATATTGTGATTAATTTTAACTGAAGAATTGATAATAAGTAACTTTGAGTATCATTTGGTTTGCAGTATAGTTTTCTTAATGTTCATTAGTATTGTTCAAATCGTGAAGTCCGTATGTCACACTGTTGTAAAATGCGTTCTGTAACTTGAACTCAAAGCGTTGTTTGTTATACGTTCTGTAATTTGATCTCAAAGCGTATTTTTTTGCACTGAAACATAATCATTATGACAATTTTTCAAAATGATTGTGTACTAGGTTACGGGAAGGAGTTTGGAATATTAAACACTTCGGTGAGTTCTCAACTGATAGTAACAAAATACGTTAAAAGTTATGTAATGGCTAAAACCTTTCATTACAACGTGATCAGGACATGTTACAAAGAATTTGCTTTATTTTAATTGGTGTTTGTTCATACATATTCTAATCGGCTTTTTTTTAAATGTAATATTTGAAGTTATAAGAAAAAATGCAACTGACTACGAATGCAGGTGTAACTCATGCATGACATACAAATAGTTTGTTCATAAGGCATGCAATTTAGAAGTAACCATTTTACTTACACATCATTACTATACGATTCTTGAGCTATTGTTTATCGCATCCTCAAATCTGTTATTTGCGTACCCTAACAGAATATCATTGACGTTGTTTAACGGTGTAACAATACTTACAGAGAAGCCTGAACGTTCGGGACAATGAGTACAAATTCAATAAAGCACATTGCAGACTCTTCATGCACGACACTGAATTAAATTGGTTAATGTTACTTGTACTATTTTTGAAACTATTTTGATGTAAATCATACTGGCTGATGTTCTAAAAGATCGTGCTGTTAAGATTCAATATTCTTCCGTCACTACCACTAGTTGATATCTTAGTGTTAACTTTGATTTAAAAGTTATTCTTTTTTTTTAGCTGTGGGGCAACTAGGCCTCAACTGTATGCCTTTAACATTTCATCATAAGTAAAAAAAATGTTTGTCCTATGTTTTGGTGACTTTCAAGTTTTTCCTGGATACCCGATATCCCGTAGCAGCGATATTTCTCCTATGACATCGCTATGGCGGTGGAGATCCCTGTTTATGGTTTCTTGCTTTCGTTGTGATCTTAGCTGCATTTGAGATTTTCTTTGACCACAAATAATTAATGATGTCCACAATAGGGGGCGGAAGTAATCCATTGTTATTAGATTAATTAACCCGTGTGATATTCTGGCTTACTTGATAAAGGTATCTTCAAATATAGGATTGATCGATTTAACGATCCCAAATATAAATAATCTTTAGGTTGATCGTAATTTCGTGAGCTCTGTGTAGAAATGTTCCTAACATAAATGAAAACTTATGAGCTTAATTAAGCTTTCTCGCAATTCTCACACCAATAACACTGCTCATTTAATCTAGGCCTTTTTAAGGATGACATTCCAGCTAGGTTTATAGTTATTGTACACTCTGCAGAAACTAGTGATATACTTTTAATCTGCAATGTCATCTCACTACTAACTTTTTGGTTAAGTTAATGTTGAATAAACTTTCAAATTTGAAAGTCTCGGATACTTTACGATATAGTTATGAGTTTGTTTGTTTGTAATCAAACACAAAGCTACACAATGGGCTATCTGTGCTCTGCCCACCACGGGTATCGAAACCCGGATTCTAGCGTTGTAAGTCCGCAGACATATCGCTGTGCCAGAGTTATGTGCCTAACGAACCATTAGCTGTATCTTGGACGTGCCTGTAAATAAAATTATTATAATTATATACTAAACCTTTCATGGTCTAAA